CCTTTGTTTTGCTGCACATCAATGAGTGCAGCTTCTGCTATGGAAAAGGGAACTGCTTGCTTTTTATCTTATTTGAAGATGCATCTGGTAGAGCACAAGATAGATCTCAGTACAAAATGAAATTCAACAGGTAATTGGGATAGAGCCAACTAGAATTAAGTTAGGGTTTTTTTCCTTCTATTTTCCTCCTTCCATAAATACACACACATCTGTTTTCCTGTTTGTTGTAGGTCCAAGTCATATGTCACTTTACGTTCAACCACATGAAGGGACAACATTATCTGCATGGTCTCTTGGAGATGGAACTCCTGTTGCTAATGTGAGAGGAGATTACTTTGTGTTTTACTCTCATGGGCTGCAGGCTACAGCATGGCACTTCTGGATAGAATTGACGGTGAGGGTGATGAAATTTTGATCAAAATTAAATCTGCTTTATTTCATAGATTTAATACAAGCTGGGGATTATAGAAGACCCAATTTGTCATTAGGTCTGTCTTCTCAGGACTGCTATAAGCTTATTGCCCCTGCAGTACATATATTTTAGTGTGCTTTCCAGGAAATTTGAAAAACCTGAACAGATCAGACTTCCATTTTATTTTCCTTCAAGTAGATTTGCTTCAACAGTTTTCAAGTCTCATTATAATTTGTCTAACATTTTAGCTTAGATTTATCCTTTTCTTGATCCTGTTTTAAAGCTAATCTTAACTTAAAACTGCTTTGTACTGTTCTAAATAATTCCTCCTTGTGGACCCTATTTGTTTAATTTGGGAAAGCAAAAAGGGGAGGAAAAAATTACAGATTGTCTATAAATTTTCTTCTGTTGTTTTCAGCCTGATAAAGTGAGCCTCTTATCAGTTCCCATTATCTTTTGAAGTTCAGTCATACTCAGGGGGGTTCTAGTGAAGCCAGGGAGCCCAGTTGTCTTTTCCTGAATGTCAGGGAAATTTCTCAGCATTTCTGGAAGCTTATCTTGTCACAGGTCTTGGGATAGCTTATTCCTTGGGAGACTTCCTTCTAGGAAGGTTCAAAACCTTTTATTCTGTCCTAGATTAGGCAATTTAAACAACCAGCCATTCACCTTTCAAAGTGGAATCAGGGACATACGCAAGCTGACTGGCATCCTGCTGGGTTCAGACAGGAGCCTGCTGTAGAGTTAGAGGTGTGCTGGACAGACAAAGATAGTTCAGTGTGTGTTGAATGCTTGCACCAGATTGAGCTGTTGAAGAGCTCCTGAGTCTTGCAGCTCTGTTTGATAGCCACGCTTTGGGAGCTCAAGTCAGTCATTTGACTCCTGTATAAAGTAATCATAAATAAGTTACTTTCAGCACGGTGTCTTGGAGATGGAACTCCTCCTGTGGCTAATGTGTGAGATTATTTTGTGTTTTACTCTCATGGGCTGCGGGCTGTTTGATAGTCAGGCTTTGGGAGCTGAACTCTTATCTAAATAAATAAGTTACTTTCATTTAGGAAGCAGGACTTGTGGTAGAGGTGATATCTTTTATTAGACCAACTAGATTTTTGGAAAAAAAAATCTTTAACTGCCAATAGACCAATATGGCTACAACCTAGATATTTCACTTTCATTTAGGCAGGCAAAGTTCTTTGGGTAGATGTGATATCTTTTATTAGACCAACTAAATAGTTGGAAAAAAGTTCTTTGCAAGCTTTTGGCCACAGATACCCTTCATCAGGCATAGGAAGACTTTCCAGATCTGGAATGAACAAGGTGCTCCTTCACCTCTGCTGGATCAATTTAGGTGTCAGTGTTTAAGGGAACTCGCAACAGCTTATTAGCAACTAAATGAAAGTAACGGTTGTTGGTTGTAGCCGTGTTGGTCTAAGCATACAGGCAGGCAAGCTTCTTTGAGTAGATGTAGATCTTTTATTAGACTAACTGAATAGTTGGAAAAAGTTCATGCCTGACAATGGGTGTTTGTGCCCAAAAGCTTGCAAAGAACTTTTTTCCAATTATTTAGTTGGTTTAATAAAAGATATCACATCTACCCAAAGAACCTTGCCACATCTGCCCAAAGACTAACACAGCAACAACCAACCACCCTTACTTTCATTTATTTGCTAATGAGCTGTTGCAAGGTGTCTTAAACATTGACACCTGAATTGATCCAGCATGGGTGAAGGAGCAGCTTGTTCATTCCAGACCTGGAAAGCTTTTGCTGTAACTCTCACTAACTGAGTACTCTGGCAGGATTGTTTCCTTTCCTTGTGGATCATGCCAGTCACTTCAAGGACAGATGCAGCTGAGTTCTGAGTGTGATTCAACATGTGCATCCCATGCAAATTGGTGGTCATGTGCTTTACACAGCAGAGTTAGATTCCTAACTCAGTTGTAATATTGGACCAACACCTGTAATCATGTGGATTCTCTTACCTGAGAATCTGTAGTTTGCAAAGTCTCTTCTGCTTTGTCATGAAAGATTCTTTCACGTCAGGATTTGGCTGGTATCATTGAAGACATTGAGAGATGTTTTTTTCACTTTTGAACTGTGGCTCTTGGGATTGAAGTTGCTCATGTAGAATGTTACCAGGCTTGCAGGAAGAAGTGGTATCTAGATGAACTATATCTTCAATGAGAGGGGATCAAGGGTACAAAGTAACACTTAGTAAACTTGGCATTGCCCTTTCTCACTTTCAGGCTGCAGAAAATCATTCTGATGGGGTAGTCTCTCTCGCCATAGCAGCACATTACCTCTTTGGGGAAGATCACGTGTCACCTCAGCTGCACGCCTTACTGGAAAGATTTCCAAACTGGACGTTCCCTTCTGGCTGGGACTGCACCTATGACTACTTTGTCTTTTAGTTTTCCAACAAGGCAAAGCTGAGACTTATCTCATGATGGAGGATGCAGCTCAGTCATAGCAGATTCATTCTTCAGGGGCAAGAAAACTGCACATGTCTGAAAAATACTTTGATTATGAATGGTGTTTCTGTAGCAACTCAACTACCTAAAGCAGGGGTGTTCAAACCTCATCCTGCAGGCAAGTGCTGCTCCTCTGCTGCCAAATTTCTAAACCCATGGGGAGCCCTGAGGGCCAGATAATGTGGCTCTATGTGCTGTATTGGGCCTGCAGGGCCTGATTCTGGTGTGCTGGTCCAGGTGGAGGTGCTGATTGAGGCATGTGGGACCTGATCTGGCCTATGGACTGACCCCATGCAACTCATCCGGTCCACAGGCCAAACGTCATAACACCACTGACACGAAGGATAATTGGGTCTCTGTCCTGTTGCTGTAGCCCTCTGGGGCTGTGGGAGAAGGAGATCCTTCACATCGTGTGGAGCTGCAATTCTTCCATTTTTCCTACTGAAATGGTAGTGTGGCACTAACTTGGAAACTGTACTTGAAGAAGTAACTTTCAGAGTAACTCACCAGGCATTGTAGTGAGGGACTCTAAAGAAATTTGCAGGTGTCGTTCAAAATATTTCTCATGCTTTAAATACCTACCTTTAAGTACACTCCAGGAAATTATGCACAGAAAAACTCAAAATTATGCAAAATTAATTTCTTTTATTTTTTTACAAATTAAACTAAGTAGCATGATTTGAACTTTCTTTAGAGATATACAGGTACTTTGGATGGGTGGGGGGATTTGGAAGGTGTGTGTGTGGGGGGGAGTTTGTGGACAGATGGGGGTGTGGGCATGGGGGTATGTGGG